ATATATATATATATATATATAGTTGTGTTCATATGGTTCTTATATTAACAAAAAAATCATAGAATTTTGATTTTGTAACTCCCAATTAATTAATGATATGTGAGTTACATAAATTTTTTTACCTAAATACCCTTTTTAACATTGTTCACTTATCTTTATGCAATTTTAAATTTAAAAAAATAAGTTTTTATCATGATTAATCACAATAGTTTATTGAAAGATTGAATGACCAAGATCGGTTAACAAAGTTAACACAAAAACTTTGGTTAACATTTGATCTTACCCCTATATATATATATATATATATATATATATATATACTTAGGATCATGTGAGACCAATGGTTTTTCGTGAGACCCGTAAGACTAATTTGCAATCCTTGGATTAGATCTACAATCGTCAGATCTGAACATTCATAAACGCCACGAGACTTTTCAATAATTACAAAATTGTCACCATACAACTTTAGACCATTAGATCATTAGCTTATAAAGATGATCAATGAAAATAAATTGGTCTTACAGGTCTCACGAAAAACCCTTGGTCTCACGTGAACTCAACCCTATATATATATATATATATATGTATATATATATATATATATATATAGACTTTGGATCATGTGAGAACAATGGTTTTTCTTGAGACCCGTAAGACCAATTCTCAACCATTGGATTATATCTACAATATGACAATTTGAACATTCATAAACGCCACGAGACTTAGCAATAATCACAAAATTGCCACCACGCAATTTTAGACCACTAGATCATTAGCTTTTAAAGTTGATCAATGAACATAAATTGGTCTTACGGGTCTCACGAAAAACCCTTGGTCTCACGTGAACCCAACCCTATATATATATATGTATGTATTTTTGATTAACCTAGGTATCCAACCTACTATGCGAGCCGACTAATCCTAGAACGACCACTTGCTTTGCAGGTAGCCCAAAATCACCGCATTTGAATCTCCGTGGCCACAATGGGATTTTTGTTCCTTTTTGGATTTGAACCTGGGACCTCCAGACACTTTTGACATTTGGAGCCAAGCTCAAACCAATCAGGTACCACCCTTATGGTTAAATTGATATATTATTAAAGGCTATATTTGTCATCATTTCTCTCATTCTTATGAAAAATTATTTTCTTCTTCCTTCCCTTCCCTTCCCTTTCCATGATACAAATATTTTTTCCCTAAATTCGAGAACATAAATAAAAGAATAAATATTGATTCTAAAAAAACTGATATATCAATAATAATCTATTTAAACCAGAGTTAAAAATATTGATGTGGTCAAACGATGTGGTCTTTCCTAAGGGTGTAAACGATACGAGACAATTGACGAACTACTTGAGATCGACTTGTTCAAAGCTCAGTCAACACTCGACTCGAATATGCTCAGCTCGAATTTGAGCTCGACTCGACATATTAACAAATCGAGTCAAGCTACCCAATACTCGACTCGAAAAAATCGTGAGATACTCGATTATTTTATATATAATTAGTTTTAAAATATAATCAGTTTTTATGATAAAATTTGTAAAATATAAATAATAAAGATGTCTTATATTTTTAGATATTTAAACAAAATTATGCATTTTTTAATCATAAAAATTAAATCAATTATTCAAAAATAAAAATATCATCGTTTTCTCAAAATCACATAAAGCCATATTATAACATCGACTGAGATAAATAATAAAATAAAATATTAAAATCACGATCTATCTCGCTGCGTTGCGCGAGTACGCTTCTAGTAAAAACTAAGAGAACATCTTTAAGTTTTAAAATTTATAAGAGAAATACCCTAAAATTTTAATGAGTGAGCTTGATTTGAGTTTGAGTTCAAGTTCAAGCTTGATTCGAGCTCGAGTTCGAGCTTGATAAATAGTTATCGAGTTCAAGTCAAGCTTTGATTTTTACTATTTGCGAGTTTTCGAGTCGAGTTCAAACTTGAGAATTAAGTTTCGAGTTTAAATAAATTATAGTGATACTCGAACTCGAACTCGAACTCGAACTCGACTCACATCATTATACCCCTAGTCTTTTCTGCCACGAACGATCCTAATGTAATGGCTACCTCTAGAAATGATAAAAAAATACCAAAACTTGAAAAGACGTTTTGAATAGATATCCGGAAGAAAATGAAAAAAATAAATAAAAAACAGTCCATATTTGAAAGAATATAAAGTTGAAGGGGGTGAAATGTAACATTTTAAGTACAAAGATCCACAATTTTCAACCTATCCCGCCTTTTGAAAGCATTTCTCAGAGGGGTGTGTGTCCCAATCAATTTCAAAAACTCTCCTAGGGTTTTTGCGAATTCAGGTGAAACTTTTCCAAGGATTTCATCGCTTTTACCGTTGTTGCTGTTTCATTATAGGTTGAATTCTAGGGTTTCTATAGCTGGCTTCTTTTTCTTTTCATTCGATTATGCTTTTTTTGTTGCTCTTGATTCATCAATTGATGATTATGTTTGATTTTCCAGTTTCAAATGGAGGCGCTCTATTCTAAGCTGTATGATAAGTACACTAAGCTCAAGGTTTCTCTCTTTCCTCTCGCTTCTCGTTCTCTACAATGTACGAGTAATTGTGTTAATTGGGAATATGTGATTCTTGTAAGTGGAGTTAACTAGCTTTGGTTTGTTGTTTGATTACTGTACAGGCGAAAAAGGCTTCTGAAATAGAGCAGCTTAATTTGGATCAAGAAGAAAAATTTAAGACCTATGTGTCTGGTATGTATTTTTTTTTATTGGCAGCTTAATTTTGTATTGAATTGTTTTGTGGATATCAGTAAGTGCATTTTGGACATCTTCGTTTTATAGCCTTTGTAATCTTCCCTTTCCAAAAGGGGTTGCATTTTAAATTGTTGATGTCTAACGTAGTACCCATCATGTACAAATCTGATACGGATTTCAGGAACTAATTTAGCTCTAACGTCTTAATTGGTTGTGCTTCATTGTTTAGCTTTTGAAAAACTTATACTGGTTGTAATTGTGGACTACAAGGTTTTTTTTATAACTTTATCCCAATTTAGTCTTTAACATGAATGCAACATGAAGTATTTTCTTGTCTTTCTGATGCAGCTGCAGATGAACTGATTGGCTATTTAACAAGTGAAAAGGACAGGTTATATGCACAAATCAGTGATTTGAGACAGGAAGTGGCTTCAATAAGGCAAGGAACGACTTTGCTGGAGTACTAAGTCAATTTGATAAGAAGTTAACTGGTATTTTGTTTGCAGATCTGCCAAGGACGAAGAGCAAGAAAAGTATGAAAAGATGTTAATCGAAGAGAACCAAAAAAGTAAGGCATAATTTTATGTTATGGTGAATGAGTTGGTTGAATTAAAATTCTAGTCATGAGGTAGCAATGCATAATATAAGGATGCTATCAACGAACATTAACTTTTTATGCACTTAGAAGCATATCAAATGAAGAGAGCACAAAGAGGTACATTTGCTTCTAGGTTAACATCGGATGTTTCTCCACTGATAGCAACAGCATTTCTAGAATATAGAATACGAAAATGCAGTAAGTTGTTGGTGTTGCTGTTGACACCTACAGTTTAAATGCAGTAATTGGTGACACGGCAGGAATGCTTGTTTCTTACTATTCTGAACTAACCACTAATCACCTAATCTTGTGTCACTTCAAGATTTGGTTCTTGTCCTGTTCCAAGAACTGAACCCTTGTAGATGATTTTCACATTGACAATTACTTTAGTCGTACTTTCTTAAAGATGATGGATGATATAGTGATCTGATTACAGTTTTTGGTTCCCGGACAAAAATTCTGAAGTCAAGGAGAATTTACCTCATGAGATTGGCAATTGAATCAGTTTGTAACCCTTTCAACCTTTCAAAGAAATCAGATCATTATGTTGAATTGAATTTTTGTCCATTAGAGATGATAGGTTGACATTGCAATTAAAAGTAATTTTCATCAAGTTCGGAAAATATCAAAATAAGATAAAGCTTAATTTGTCCATGAGCAATAATGTGAAATGAACCAGGTAGATCCCAAGTAGATATTTGTTGCTTTTGTACTTTGAGTTGGAAAGTTTGAATGAGGATCATCTCAGGTTGCTTGTTCTTTAAGCCTGAGTATTAACATTGGTTCGGTTTCAAATTCCATTTAGGTTCTTTAATTTGTAAATTGCCTTTTTGAGGAACGTTATGACTGCACTGCTATTTGTCTGAGCCTCCTCGATTAGCTTCACTATTAAATTATCAAATTAAAGCTAAAATTCTTCTAGAAAGCAACTACTTATCTTCTGTACCATTTTCTTTTAGAAATCTACACCTGAGTTACAGGATCTAGAAACGTTTTTCAACAATTTATGCTCTAGTCTGGCTTGGAAGGATGTTTCTTTAGTATGAGAGAGGTGTCAATATATGACCTATTAAATGACTTCAAAATTTTAGCTTATCACAAAGTATGCCAGTTGATTTATTGAATTCTGAGGAACTTTATGGTTCTTGTCTTCGACAAATGTTATTGCCATCAATGGTTAAATGCATTGCTAACCTTACATCATACACATATACAGCTGAACTGACCACCTAGATTTGTTTATGATCAATGCATTCCTGTATTGGTTGTCAATTACTTGGCTCAAATTTTGCAGACAAACAACTTTCAGAAGAAATTGAGAGGCTGCATAGAAAAGAATTTCATTCCAGCACTAGCAATGACATGCTCGCAATTAATCAAGTGTCAGGTTCTTCAATTTCGTCAGGGAGACTCAACAACTCAACAAAGAGAAAGCGATCTACAGATTTCATGCATGAGAAGGAAGTTGAGGTTGCTCTAGAACATGCATTAGATAAAGAAAACATGACACCTGATGCTATTTATAGCGCTAATCAGGTACAGCTTGTGAGTTTTAAGTTCTTCCCATTTTGGTAGGAAGTTCTGTTTGTGTACTGACCATAGTAATGAGATTGTGTAGCCTAAATGCTGCCGCCGAAGGCTTGGCAGTTCAGGTATGTTTAAAAACTGAATATCTTTCTGGGTGCGTTTGGTCAGTCAGACGGGAGTGGACAGGACTGGACGGGTGAGAGTGAGGTAGGCGGGTGAAAGAAATGTGAAAGGTTTTAGATTTTAATTTTACGCGGGTAGTTTAGTAATTTATCAACCTTGGCCCATCTTCCTAATTTTTGTACCACCTATTTTGATGGGACAAAGAAATGCATTTTTCCCCACTCAGTCTTGTTCCAGCCCAGTCTAAATACCGAACAAACTTGGGACAACTTGTTAACTGTTCTCGCCTGTCTCGGGTACCAAACGCACCCTCTATGTTCTCCGGCGCACAATCTTCATACATTAGAATATATCTGATCAAATTTAGTTGTGGTGTAGTAGATGCTTCTGATACTACCATCTGCATGTTTCAAGAGCTTGTTGAGAGCCTAGTTGACCTGAAGTTTTCTACTGTACACCAAACTGATGATATACTCCTAACTGCAGTGCATGAATCAAGCGGTAATTTATTTGTTGACATTTCATGTTACATACAAGTTGGTGCCTTATCTTCCTTCTACGTTCTAATATGTGATCATCGTTCAACATTGGATGCTTCTGTACATGGAATTTTTACTAATTTTTACGTACGCATTTGATAATTTATCTTCTTTTCTTGCATTTTTATTATTATGCTTCATCATTTCCCAAATCTCATGTTTTGCATAAATAGTGACACGAGAATAGTGAAATCCCACTTGGAGGACAATGTGTAAATCTGAACGCTTACTTTGTATTTGCAATCGAATCTTTCAATCTGAAATTAAATAGTTACTCCGTTCCATAATAAATGCCTGTATTTCTATTTTAATTTGTCCAAAATAAGTGCCCCTTTTCAAAGTAAATGTCTAATTCCGATTCTACCCTTAATTATGAGATGAAGAAATTCATTACTCCTATTATTAAGGGGCAACATTGTCACTTGGTTAATTAAAAAGTGTAATAGTTACACGTTTTAGGAAATCCCCTCATCCTCTTTTATACGACATGTTATATAGTGTACTTATGTTCCCTCTTCGCATATACGAATTTGGAGATTTTAAAATCGTTTTCATGCTGTAATTAAGAACCCAGATGGAATAATATGGGCATTACACTTCCATTTATGACATCTGTTGTCTAAACTATTTGATTTTACCGATAGGGGTGTCTTTATGTTAAGAAATCTAGCAAAAAGCATTCACACCTAGTATGAAAATGGCAGTAAACCAGTAAAACCTTGGGTTTGCTTTCTAGAGTCACCCCCAAACTCACCACTCACCAGTTCAAGTCTCCTCAGAGCCACTAGAGGGTTTGACTGACTGTTAACTTCAAGGTTCCATGAGATTAGTTGAAGTGTGTGTAAACTGGCGCAGACATCCACGGTTACCTGAAAAATGGCACTAATCTGATCGGGTTTATCATAGTTATCATTGGTATAGATGTTCAAAATCGAAATCTAACGTCTTCTTTTTTGATGATGGGAATTGGCAGGCTACACATTTAGTTTGGGATGGGTGAAGAACACGGCAGGTGAAGAGGAATTGATGTACCGTGTCTCTTCATTGGGCACATTTGAGAGGGTAGCACCAGAATGGATGCGGGACGTGATGTTATTTAGTAAGAGCATGTGTCGTATGTTCTTCAAAAGATTATCTTGCATCGTCAAGCTTCATGATTGAAATGTGCAAAGCTTCGAGGTTGTTTACTACCTGCTTGCTTAGGACTCTTACCCAGTCAGAGGTGTTTACTAAGCCCCTACTACAGATCCATGATGTTCACCTGGTAAGCTACCCGGTCAGTAATTAGTGTTAACCTAGATCGTATTTGAAGCACGTTGTCGATTGGGTCATACATCATGTCCCTTAGAATGTGAAAATGCTTTTGTTTAGCTTTGTTATGGAAACTTCACGTAACCGACATAAGCGGTTATGGTCCCTAGCCTAAAATGTGTAACTGATATAAATTGGAGTAATGGCTTTTTATTCAGTTTTCAAGGCTTAGGGGCCGTTTACCAAATGCTTACCAGGGTAAGTGTACACCAAGTCACATTACCTTACCAGATGAATATGGTAATGATCAAGAATCTTACCCGATAAGAACGAGACAAGGATCAAAAATCTTACCCGGTAAGTGAGGGCGACGACTCTTACCATGGTAAGCACTTGCCAGGTAAATTGTTGTATACGATACCATTTTGGTGGACTAAAATCTTATCCAGTGAGTAAATGATCGTGTTAAATTTTACCGGTAAACACTTACCGGGTAAGTGTTTGATAAACGGTCTCTTAGCCTATTTTAAATCTATATATATATTAAAGAAGAAACCAAACATAATGAGGTGACATCTTCTAATGCTTAGAACTTCTTTTATCTTTTTTCTCAATTTTTTTTTATTTTTTTAAATGTTGAATATATTAAAGACTTTTCTACCCCTGTATAAAGAATGTATAGTTCATAATTAATTGGGGTTTTTTGTAATTTTGTATACCCAAKTTTAACCTCCAAYTCTTGATTTGCTCTTTCATTTACTTTCTTTTATTTCTTAAYGAAATTTGTTTTTCAAAATTTCAATAATAAACAAAATGAAATCCTACAAATTCTTTTAGTGAGGGATGAAGAAAGTGAGAGTTGAAGAAGAATTCAAAGATTTTAAAAGGTATGTA